AACCACAGGAACCTGAGTTTATATGTCTCCGGCTACAGCTATATCCAGTGGGACCCACACTGAGGTGTTAAGAGTAATCTTACATGTTTTAATCATCGTTGGGTTGTCATTATTACCGAAAATTGATCTTAACCCATAACAAAATAAAAATGTAAAATTACTCTGAACCCTTCAGTTTAGGTCCATATATAGCTGTAACAAATTATCAGGTCCCTGTGGTGGTGACTATCTGTTACAGAGGACATCGCACTAAGGGACCTGGGAATTTGTTGTTGCTATATTTGGACCTAAACTGATGTGTTCATGTGTTCATGTGTTCAGAGTACTGTAATGTTTTACACGTTTTGGAGATTTTAAATCAATTTTCGGTAAATTTTCGAGGCAGGTCTAAAACGCCGTTGTCAAGTGTAAATCAGGGATGGCAGAGTTACTCCCCTTAGACCACGATTCCAATTGCGACAGAAACGAATAACCAATTTTATCATTGGTAACCAAACGTTTTTATCAACACAAGAAAATTGAACGAAGACTCAATATATGAACGAGTTATGTACCTAGGCTTGTAGTTCATTCCCTACTCGATATTTTACTTGTCAACACATTACAAAGGCAAAAACTTTCCTTGTTGCCCATCGACTCCCCTTCACTGTTAAACAAGAAAGAAACATTAAAATAAACACGCATTGTGTCATATGAATTTCACTTTGGTTTGATAAAAAAAAGATGGTCTCAAAAACATTAATTGTACTAACATGACAGCTGTGTAATTAAGTACTAGGACAGGTAAGACTGACGTCACGTACATTTCCGATATAATATCATTATTTCACCTGATCATATCGCCTCGGCTGCGCGCCATCTGGTGGTGAACACTTCCGTGACGACATGTGGGTCTGTAACACAGTGCGGAACCGTTGTACCGTTCAAACTCTAAAAGCTCATATCGTAACTACTTCAGCTACAAGTTTAAGTTCAATATGTGTCAAGCATTATATAATTCATAAATTGTACAATTTACTAAAATATTTATCAAAACATAGAATGCTTACTAGATACGAATTTAGAATAGCTTCCCTGACAATATTGCTCGAGACAGACAAACGATGGCACACATTCTGCAATTTTAAAGAGTTGATATACTCTTTTTTATATTAAAATTTCATTATGATTGAGGTTTTGAGTATAAAAGCCAAACATCCCATTCACAGTACTTAGGACGTAACCTAGGTAACCATTTCGAGATTCAAGTTCAGGATAAGATTTCTGAAATAACCTAGTCAAACAATTAAATAGACAATACAAAGAAATATCCTAGTGTTTGCAGATACTCCTTCACATTGATACAAATATATACAAGCTTGGAACTTGAACAAATAATCGGTCGTAATGTCATAAAAATATTGAAATAAAAAAACCCCACTATTATAATTGAATATCAAACGGTCTTGACTTTCATAAACTTTATAAATCTTGTCTATTTATAAGTCTATATTTCTTGCGTTCAAATGAAACACCAAGACCATTCTAGAAAATCCAAACTTACATGAATTTGATGGAATCCATATAACTTACTATTTACATTTAACATTATCCTGTATAATCGCATTCTCATGACATTGACAAGATATCTTAGATTCATATTTTGTAAAATTTCCAAGATCATCAAAAATAAAAAGGTTTCAATTTTAAATTTCTTGAATACACGAGAAAATGACAAAACTACATACGCCTAAGTCTTCAATGCCAGAACGCCCCCATTAATCAGTTTGTTCGTTTGTGTTTTACGTCCTATTAACAGCTATGGTCATTTAAGGACGTGCCAGGTTTTGGTGGTAGAGGAAAGCCGGAGTACCCGGAGAAAAACCATCGACTTACGTCGGCGACCGCCTAACGCAGGTCTCGAACCCGTGAATCAGTGGTGGACGGCCAGTGGTAGCAGAATGTCAGACGCCTTTACCACTTGGCCACAGGCTGTCAGCTTTGTAAAGTTAAAAAATGAGAATCGTTCGATTGAAATGATTTATATGTATCTGCTTTTCAAAACTTTGGATGAGGAAAGGAATTCTAAAACTATGAAGCATCAAATTCCAGGGGTGTTTGAAGAGGAATTCGTACTAGGGTCCGTGTGATACCATGTCAGAGTTCTAGAGAACTACCGAGTTCTTTATCACACATTGTTACAAAGTAAAAGTTGATCATATACAAACGTCGAAAATCGATTTTCATTGCTAAGAACAATCTGTAAGCGATCATGCAGGATAGAAGACAGGATTTTTTTGTTTGTTAAACGACGAATGCAATATCTACCCAGATTTGTCGTTCCTTACACTTTAGTGATTGTAAGAAACGATAACTCTGGGTAGAGATTGACGACGAATGCTGCTATAATGATAATAATAATAATAATTCGAGGTTCTTTTATACCGCTTTAACACAACCTAGTTCGTAGGTCGTCTCAACGCGGTTCACAAATTATTATCCGTGGTCATAGGGCCTTTGTAACCAGCCAATACCTTTCTCAACTCCCGTAGGAGCATGCAGCTGGAGCTGCCATTTCGGTGCTAACAGCTAGCATTCAAATAATTCTAGCACTGCCCAACCACATACTCATTTACAGCTGAGTAGACTGGAACAAGCGGAGTAAAGAATCTTGCTCAAAGATATATATATACAACACAGCGCCGTGCCGTGACTCGAACACGCAACCCCTTCGGTCACGAGCCCGGCGTCCTACCACTAGACTACCGTGCCTCCTGTAGCCCGGCGTCCTACCACTAGACTACCGTGCCTCCTGTAGCCCGGCGTCCTACCACTAGACTACCGTGCCTCCTGTAGCCCGGCGTCCTACCACTAGACTACCGTGCCTCCTGTAGCCCGGCGTCCTACCACTAGACTACCGTGCCTCCTGTAGCCCGGCGTCCTACCACTAGACTAACGTGCCTCCTGTAGCCCGGCGTCCTACCACTAGACTACCGTGCCTCCTGTAGCCCGGCGTCCTACCACTAGACTACCGTGCCTCCTGTAGCCAAGCGTCCTACCACTAGACTACCGTGCCTCCTGTAACGGCTATCAACTCAGAGACAAGGGTTCTCGTCATCTTCATCTTTCAACCTTCCTCTGTCAATATTGAAACAAAGCCTGTATCTATAGGCCTATATGCGTATCTGGTCAAATTAAGCTCAAATTTGAACGTATGCTTGTTACAACATCTATCGCCCCTAAGCTTTATTTCTATCTCTGTGAAACATCACAATCTAACCCCGGACAAACAGGTGCTAACCCTAATACCACGTAATGTTCATATCTGTCCGTCATTTTATAAACTCTTTAATTAGTCACTCATTCCCGTAGCCACAGATGTATACTACTTCCCAGTCCTCGTTCGTTACATAGTAGGACTGAGGTCACAATTAAATGCTTCCGAATGAAGTCCCTAATCAATATAGGTAGGTAAGTAAAAACTATACTATGCCTCTTAGAACTTGGTGTTTGTGTAAATGTTTGGTGTTAAAATACTGTGGAGATATCAATCTAACAATTTCTGTGTCAAATTTTTATATTATGCATTTATCTTTTGGTGCAGGGTGCTGTGTGAAAAGTCCTGTGTTTACCTCTACCCCTGACCCGGAAGTTTATTTTGACATTGGTGACACATGCAGACGATTATCTCAAGAAAAAGGCCAACATGCTATGTTGAAATTTTGATATTTTACTCCCAAGATGTTGCTCTTGACCAGGTTAGATGGAAAGTTGGCTATCGGATATTGGGAATTTGTTATGAAATTAAATGTTACAATGAAACATATAGTAAAATTAATTGTGGTCTTAGTCCAATGTTCACCCGGACATCGCCGTATTTCGTGGGAATTACTGCCAAACATGAAGTACGAGTACGAGTTATCGCCCTTGCTGCACTAACTGCAGGGCCCGTATTCATGAAACCGTTCTCATGCTCAAGCATGGATTTTGTGCTCAAGCCTGATTTCTTGTTCCGGTTTTAATTTGATAATACAATTTGTATGTCCTACCAGCACATGCAGTCATTAAGGACCTTCCTTTATGTGTGTTTTATTATGCATGTATGTGTGTATGCGTGTATGTATGTATACGTGTATGTGTGTATGCGTGTTTGAGGCAGGGTATGTTGGTGTCTGCCTGGAAGGCCGTAGTGTTAACCACTGGACCAATCCACCCATGATAGATCCGGTATACGATAGCTCATGCCGTAAACCTGACGATGTCGAAAATGTCGTTACGTTGTGACTACTGTGTGTTAACGACACCGGATATTGCTACTAAGCAGGCGGTGATCACACGGGGTGGGCTTTTGTTGCAGGTGACTGACTCCTCCCCCCTTCCCCCCCTTACTCCAGAGGCTTGTATGTTCTAGGGACTTTTTGAATCAATTCCTCACATTTTCGGCAATGGCTTTAACCAGAAAGAAGATTCCTATAAGGGTCAATATTTCTTCTAGACTTGCAAACACGCCGCCTGGTATCGGCGAAAACTCACGAATGATACTTATCACGTGTCTGAATTAATATTTGTAGTGGGTTTTTTTCAAACAAAATTCACAACCTATAACTAATTAATATGTATATGCATTACATACATTCATCGTATTTTCGAACTCGTTGTAAGTTATGAGAAATATGCTGACACAATTCCATAGCATTGTGCGGCGACTTGCATGATGCCGTACAGTAATCTAAAAACAAAAATTCAAGTTGCCGTACAGTTCGACGAAATATATTTGACGATATTTCATTTAATACAATGCTTTCACTGACATAATGAATGTATGTAATGTAGATACATCTTTATTTAGTTGTAGTCAATTAAATGTGTGGAGGGAAGTACTACACATGTTAATTCAGTCACATGATAGTTATCACTCGTAAATTTTCGCCGATACCAGACGACGTGTTTGTAAGTTAGCAATACCCGGTGTCGTTAACACACAGCGAATAATAAATTGGACAAATGTTAATGAATGGGCACTTTAGAGTTTTATTCAAGGAATACAACCTACAGCGACAAATGAATTAGTATGGACAACATTATCGCAATGTATTCAGAGACGATAATTACATTACAAAGTACAATGTATCTACAATGTGACATACATTACATCTAAAACTCCAAGACTGTATGAAAATGAACAATGTGATAACATGTAGACGGAATCGGAGGAATGCGGGAAAACAGAAGCAGGATACGTAAATCCATGAACTACGCTCATATAATCATAACTCTTTTTCTCATGGATTACGTAGAATGCAAAGAAGTTATTTCACCTAAGTGTTTAACGTCGTATGTGTAATTTATTTCAGTTAATCAAATTGAATTTCTATTGTACAACCATTGGGGTACGGTACGATTCATTTTGACTTGAACAATTTGAGCTATTATATGCTAAAAATGTTCTTACGAAACATTATGTTTTTCTGATCGCATGGTAACTTAGACATAATGAATTCTAACAACTGCAAATATCCCGTCGCTGTGAAGTCATTTCTGGACACGAGAAATAATATTTACAAACGTTTTGTTTGGATCAGAAATTCTAATTGATCTCAGCTCTTGTCACAATCTTTATTTTTTATAGATCCAGATAACGAAGTCTTCCTGAAACGTCGTAAGTTTAGTCATCGGAGGCTGCAGTTTGGATTATCTGTAATTGGACAAACATCGCTATGTACAAAAGTGGGTATAAACATAAACCACAGTAAAATTGTTTGAAAGCTGGTACGTTTAGATTACAAATAGGCTTTGATGGTGATGGTAGCAGTAATATAGCAGTACACAGTAGCGTGCGGTGGCCATGGGTGATATGTTTGTACAATGAACAACCCCTGTGATATTGTATGTATCAAAATAACCTTGTGATATTGTATGTATCAAAAGTAACCTTGCGATATTGTATGTATCAAAATAACCTTGTGATATTGTATGTGTCAAAATAACCTTGTGATATTGTATGCATCAAAATAACCTTGTGATATTGTATGTATCAAAATAACCTTGTGATATTGTATGCATCAAAATAACCTTGTGATATTGCATGTATCAAAATAACAAAAGACATCAGCACTAAAGTTGGCATACAAGATGAAGTGGACTATGTGGGCTTCATTTTTTTTCCAGGAAAAACAAGTTGCATTTGGTGTGAGAGTACAGTTTTGATCATTTACAAATCTGTGTCTACACAACCAAAGCTAGCTGTAGTCTATTTTACATGTGTAAACATTGTGAAAAATCCACCGGAATAACCTATGCTAAAACGTAAATATTTCTGTTACCCGGTAGGTGATCTTTAGTTGAAGACAGACTTTAAGAAAATAATCTGTATACGGGGGTCCAGTTTTGGTTAAAAATAATGTTTTGTTTTTGCATTTTCTAGCGGTTTTTTTATGTGGTAACCATGTCTGAAATCTGGGGAAAATACGTCTAGCAAAAAGATTTTTTTTTGCTAAAAAAAAATGTCTTGATAAAGTAGTTTATATAAGCATTGAACAGTTTTTGTATGGTATTTATGATCTAGCGCATGATTTGTTCGCTTGCAAAGCTGTGTCATTCAAATAGATCATAAATACCATACAAAATCAGTTCAATACTTATATTTACGTTTTCTCTACCTCTCATGTTCTTTTTTAACTTATAATTTATATTTAAAATTAAAAATGCCCGCTTTATCAACGGTCCACACAATTTCGTTCAATAGTTTTAACAGCGTATTGTCGCGTGCTGATTGGCAAACAAAGCAGTACTTTGAAATTTTAACAAACACTTCAATTTTATTCCACAATTCAGTATCAATACAATTGCGTATGCTATGTCTATAGGGTGATTTAAGTTTATCAATAGAACGAATGCACAATTATTCCGTCTTTTCGTATTGCAGAGTTATCTGCTCTTGTCAACAGGGGTATTGATTGTAACGTCATTTGTTTGTGAGAGTAACGTCATAAATTTTTGAGAAAACGACGTAATTTTCTCACACAAACTAATGACGTAACAATCAATACCTTCTCACAAGAGCAGATAACTCTGCAATACGAAAAGACGGAATATAAAGTAGATGTAGTGTTAATTCATAGGTAAGAACGTATATGATTTAATGGTAAAAGTGAAAACACTAAATATAACACACCTTTGAAGATAAACCACCAGACGAGGAAACCAGCAGCTCCGAGTAGGAGCAAGACGACAATGATGATAATGGCAATGATAAATCTCTTCTTCAGTTTCCGTCGGTCTCGTTGGGACATCATTTTTTTTCGAGTCTATAAAAAAAAAAAAGACAACAGTACAGTTTTGTTATTATAAATCGCGTGACGACTGATACTCAAACACATCAATCACATATACATATCGACAGTAGCTTGTATTGTATGTACAGTGTGCACTGAAGGCCGATAGCCATTATGATATAAACGGAGTTATTTATTATATTTTCAAAATATAAGACAAATAAAATCACCAAAGTTTCTTTTTCATTAAGTAGATAAGGGTTGTGTATGGAATTTATCTCCGGCCAAAGCATTGTATTTTGTGTTAAAGTTTAATAAAGTCAGCGATCCTACTTTTAGATTTAATTTGTCAATCAATAAGTAATAGTCGTTTTAATATGCGATGGAGCTAAATTATCTCGATTATCATGTGAAACCATCTTCACGGGTATTCCGTCTTCGCGTATTGCAGAGTTATCTTCTCTTGTGAGCAGGTATTGATTGTAACGTCATTGGTTTGTGTGAAAAAATTACGTCGTTTTCTCAAAAATTTATGACGTTACTCTCTAAAACAAGTGACGTAACAATCAATACCTGTTCTCAAGAGCAGATAACTCTGCAAAACGAAAAGACGGAATAACATATTGCGAAACCCGCGAATCTAACCACTAACCACTAAACCACTAACCACTAACCACTAAACCACTAACCACTAACCACTGCCAATAAATTCCAATAGATGGATTTTTCGCGATAAATCCTTTTAAAGCAAATATCGCTAAATTTTACACCCTGCTAATAATAACAAGAGGCCAATAAAGCCATGCAAAAATGTCCTCAGTTCCGAGTGTGCTGGGTGCTTGCCAGAGACATATCAAATAAATACAAGTACAAAATATTCAAATTCCAGTTGATCCTATGAAATAGTTTCAATAGTTCCTGGTATGTTGTAAAGATAAATGATGTATAAATATATATGTAATAATGATCAAAAACGCTTTGTAGCTATTATACATTTTGGAACCCAAATAAAGAGTAGTTGGTTTTCCGCCGGCAAGATAAATATTTTTTGTTTTCAAATAGTAGCAACTTTTGAGTTATAGTGTAATATAGGGGTGAAGTTTGTTACACGGAAGTTATCATAGAGAGGGCATCGCAACAAATAGTGAAAGTTTGTTTTATTAGTTAAGCCACATGTACAAAGAGGACTTTCGATCAAACATTTTGAATAAAGGTAACAATAATATTGATTTGGGCCGCTCTCCTCACCACAGCCTTCATTTACATAACATTGACTACCATGTCCTATTGATGTTTTGCGCTAAATACTTGTACAAACTCATCGAGACTTTCAGCAGAAATATATTTTGAGAAGCTGAACTCTGCCAGCAACCTCTTATTTGGCTCGTCTCTCAGACCCAAGTGGGATCACACTCTTTAAAGCATCGTTTGCTGCTATGGTTGGGAGGATGCCACAGGACAGATTTGAATGAAATAATATCAGTTCTTTAGAAAAAGTAATATTTCAAAGGAAAATGTTGAAAGATGACAGTCACTATGACTTGGCTTACTGATCCTTCTGACCAGGTAAATTAACAACTAGATGGTAAAATGTAAATGTATTAAAGTAGGATCAGGGAATATCTACTTTTAGTATACATGTTTGATTCACCTATTTCGAAAACATAAAGTCTAAAATACATGAACATTGATTTCATTCTAATACAGTAAAACGTCGTTATACTGCCACAATTTGTTTTGAAACAAATTGGCGCTATAAAGGGGTTTGGCGATAAACTGAGGAAAATCTTTTAGTGATTAACGGGGTTTGGCGATAAATTGAGGAAAATCTATTAAAGGGGTTTGGCGATAAATTGAGGAAAATCTATGAGACAATTCTTAGGAAACGAGAAAAAAAGGACATTGAAAAAGGTTGGCGGTAAACGAGGTGGCAAATGAAACGGTGGTATTATATCGAGGTTTTACTGTAAGCGGACTTTTCCTCTTCATTTCCCTTTGTTATTACACCGCTGTAGATGTTTACCTTGTCCCGTTTACGAGCCCGGCCCTGCCTCCTCTGTCTTAGTTCCTCTGCCCTTTGTCTAGCCCAGTCTACAGCGTGGGGATATACCTTCTTCTTGGAGAACGCTGGGCGTGGGGGTGGGGCCCAATGACTCCGGGGCCACCCCAGGGCACCACTGGAGATAGGCATCCCGGTGTTAGGGGCAACCAGGAAGTTTAACCACTTAGTTACATAAATGATCCGACAGATACGTCTGAAATATTGAGAAGAGAAAAATGGTAATAGAGAGCGATACAGAACAAAATCAAATCACTATACCCGGACATTCAGCAACGAAATGAACAAGTAAACAAACATATCAGTTGTAGGGTAATGGAACGAAAATCATCAGGTTTTCATTTATAAAAATAATTTATGTGTGTAACATAGATTAACTTACAAATTCATATTTCACTCGAGATATTGTTATATTAATTTCAGGTGTAAATTACAAACACTTACCAAAATAAATCTGAGAACGCCAAACACGACAAACAGGGAACATAATTGCATATGTCGAATGTGAATAAAGAAACTTTTGCCAACCAATGACGACTTCACTACCTGGGAGGTGTACTCGAGTAATCACTTAGCACGTCATTTGTTGAGTGAAGATATGTGAATAAATAGAGAAAAACAAGCCATTCGACAAATTGTAAACAATGCAACCAAGATTTGGAAGCATTAAGTGATTTATTTCCATTCAGGTTAATTGTGGTAATAGTTGAGAAAAAATAGAGAGAATAAACAAAATAATGTAAAATCGAGTCACACATTTTGATCGATATATCGTTGTACACTGGCCCACACAGTGGCGTTAAACCGTCATCGCCTACTTTCTGTTTAATCAGGCAGTATGTGATACGATTGTTTTCCTCCCACCATAAATGTCAGATAAACTGGCATTTGTACAAAAGTGAGAGATAAATTTAACAGACAGTCCTAAGTAAGTACATGTTGTAGTATAGGCTAGTGTACGGTACCATTTCACGTAATATGTATGGTTTAAATTCGATTTGCTTGCCGTTCAGATATTATCTTTTATATAGAATAACAATCGCTGAACATTTCGCAATTAAGTTTTTGACTTCGAACATTTTTATACTAATATACAACAATTTATATTTTAGGGCATGCTTTCTTACCCAAGGTTGTATTTTTTTTATTTTTGTTTTTGTTTTTATTTTTTTCAATCTCACAAAATCTTTCTTTATGTTAACAAATATAAGGATAATTGTGAAGGAATAACGGGGGTGAGTCGCTCAAAATGATAATGTTGGTTGGTTGTACAGTGTTTAACGTCCTGTGAATAGCTAAGGTCATTTAAGGACGTGCCTCCATACGTGTTGTGTATGAGTGCATGTCTGTATGTGTACTGGGACAGGGTATGTTGGTGTACTTACCTCCTAGTGATAGCGCGGATCTGATGCCTACTTTATAGTGCTATTTCACTAAAATACCATGCCGAAGGTACCCAGCACAGCATTGCACCCGGTCACAATATACTGACAACAGGTGAACCAGTTGTTGCCATTACCCCAAATATGGAACGTTAAGCAGGAAATAACAACTGAGGACAGAACCCATTGCCTTCCTTACTTTGGCAAACGCTCAACATTAAAGCCAAAAGTGAGGTATTGCCAGGCAAGGCACTAGGAAATAAAAGATAGTTATAGAAGTAGAAGAAATATAAAGATACCAAATATTACAATGTGATCAGCAGATTTATTCTGATCTACAAGCCGTTGCTTAGGTTATGTTGTACTGACACAATTAACATACAGGCTATATCAACTAATTCTCTCAGTATCAACTAATTCTCTGAGTATTACTTATTCTCTAAGTATCAACTAATTCTCAGAGTATTAACTTATTCTCTGAGTATCAATTAATTTTCTGAGTATTAACTTATTCTCTGAGTATCAACTAATTCTCTGAGTATCAACTAATTCTCTGAGTATCAACCAATTCTCTGAGTATCTACTAATTCTCTGAGTATCAACTATTTCTCTGAGTACAACTTATTCTTTGAGTACAACTTATTCTTTGAGTACAAATAATTCTCTGAGTATCAACTAATTCTCTGAGTATCAACTAATTCTCTGAGTACAACTTATTCTTTGAGTGCAACTAATTCTCTGAGTACAACTTATTCCAAGTCTTCTACACTCTGTCTTTAACTCCACCATTTGTGTATTTCTGACTTTGTCGATGAAGATCTTCTTTCATATTCATTGGTTCCGGCATCCTGTTCAAAATATAAAGGAAAAATATATTTGCCAGCTGCAAAAGAAAACAATATCTACGGAAGTTTTGTACTATAGTCTAGCATGCATTGTATTTACCGTATTTTATTTGCCTACGTTTGTTGCTGTATGCGAACAGCGATTTTCAAATGGTCTGAAAATTACCGTCGGAAGTTTCATTTTGTTTTCGAGTAAGAAACTGTTCGGAGAAGTCCAGGCGAGGTAAACTTGATCATCGTTATACTGGGGTTACCGTCTCTCACGTGCTGCATTACGGAAGTGCCCATTGGACGAAACCAACAAGAGAATACCGATGTGTCATCAAAGCCATAATTAAAAATCAAAATCGATGATACTAGGGCCAAATATGGACAAGTGAAAGAAAGTATAGGGAGAATAAGGAGTTTTGAGGATGAGTAAACTAAATGTACATTGTAGATAATGCTCTCTCAGCATTTTAAAGATGTATGATCCGTATCTGCAGGTGGTTCTTCTTTTTACCAGCTGGATTACAGAAATTTATCAAGTTATTAAGAAATCCTTGGTTGTTTGTATAGACCATGCAGACAGTAGCATTGACTACTGGAAGAAACTTGATGATACATTAACTAGAGCTACTGATACTTCTATGGATGTTGTACTTATAGGTGATATTAATGTTGATATGTTAAACTTACCAGTAAATGATCACTTATCAAGACTCCTTATCCAACATAATCTATCTAGTTTTGTTAATGAACCTACACGAATAACACCTGACAGTGCCACATCCATTGATATTATATTTTCTAATAACAGAAACATAATTAAGAGAACCTATGTATCACCACCATTCTGTAGTGACCACTCATCAGTTCATAAACAAGTGAGCTATAAAAAGACAATTCTGAAATGTGATGAAGCTGATTTTGAAAGTATGAATAATGCTCTTTTTAATGTTGATTGGTTAGATTTATCATTGAATCAGGACACTGAGCTATTTAATGCTTCTATATAATTGTTTAACGGAACAAGTCAAACATTTTATTCACACAAAAGTGATAACAGTACGCCCAAATGATAAACCGTGGATGAACAACACCGTTAGACTTAAGATGAGACAGAGAAACAGAATACACAAAAAGGCTAAAATAAATAATAATCCTCATTATTGGCACAGATTTCGTATTCTTAGAAATGAAACTATTGACCTGATTCGGGAAGCAAAGGCAAATTACATAAAAAAAACACCTTGATAATTCACTAAATGATAGTATGGTCCCTCCAGACAAATGGTGGAAGATAGCAAAATCTATCACTAACTTTTCTAACAAATCCTCCTCTATCCCCCCTCTTGAATCTAACAATCAGGTCATTCACCATCCAATTGATAAAGCTGAAATCCTAAGCAGTTACTTTACTAATATCTCTACGTCATCACCTGACCTTGAACTCCCTCAAACAGCACAACATTTCACCCCATTTTCACTGACAAATACCCATGTCACCCAACAAGATGTCTCTGACCAAATCAATAATAGTCTTAATGTTAATAAACCACCAGGTCCTGATGGTGTTATCCGTAAAATTGTTAAAAAGCTAAGTTCCTCTCTGAGATTACCCCTCACACTGTTATTTAATAAAACTTTAGAATCAGGGACTATACCAAATAGTTGGCAACAAGCAAACATTAATGCTATTTATAAAGGAAATGGTTCAACCAATGATGTTTCAAACTATAGACCTATCTCAATAACTTCTTGTCTTAGTAAATTAATGGAAAAAAATATTTTCAAATATCTTTTTAATTACCTAGTTGAAAATTCTATTATAACTAAGCATCAGTCAGGATTTACACCAGGTGATTCTACAGTAAATCAACTATTGTTCATATATAATGAATTTGTTAGTAATATGGACCAGGGAAATGAGTTAAGGTTTATATTTTGTGACATCAGTAAAGCTTTTGACCGTGTGTGGCACCGAGGTCTTCTACATAAACTAAAACAATATTGTGTTGATGGAAATTTACTGATCTGGTTCCAAAATTATCTCACAGACAGGATGCAAAGAGTTAGTACTGAGGATCTATCTTTCTCAATTCAAGGTTATCAATGCAGGGGTACCTCAAGGATCTGTCCTTGGTCCAATTCTCTTCCTTCTTTACACCAATGATATCACCGAAAATGTTTCCACTAATAGTAAGCTTTTTGTAGACGACACCTCTATGTAATCATAGATGAAGACCCAGGTCAAGCAGTTCAAGCACTAACAACTGACCGTACTAACTTGAACGAATGGGCAAACACATGGGACATAAAATGTTACCCTAATACAACTAAATCAGTTATATTTTCAAGGAAATATAACACAAATCACCCCACTATAACTTTTCAAAACAGCCAAATTATAGACTCTACATCACATACACACTTAGGAATTATCCTTAAAGATGATGCATCATGGAAACAGCATATTCAGAACATATATGAAAAAGCTTACAAGAGACTCAACACTCTTCATTACATAAAAACTAGAGTAAATCGAAAAACATTAATTATAACTTATACTGCATTTATTAGGCCAATTTTGGAATGAATATGCTGACATAGTTTGGGATAAATGCACACAACAATCAACAGATCTTCTAGAATCTATACAATTAAAAGCAGCAAGAATTATTACAGGCCTTCGCTCGGGAACATCACATAATAAACTGTATACCGAACTTGGTTGGGAAACTCTGGCTGCCAGAAGAGAGAAACACAGATATATCATGATGTATAAATTAATGCATGGACTCTCACCGCAATATTTACAAGATGGATTGATTCCCTTTACAAACAATCCTAATGAAAATCATCATTCTCTCCGACAAACTGGACTTTTTTACCCACCAATATGCAGAACTAATAACTATTTTGACAGCTTCTTTCCTTTCATGTGCCGCACAGCTAACAACACTGATACTTTTTGACTCTCCTACACTAGAAAGTTTAAAATGGCTGTTAGATAAAAATACTTTAACTGATAGTGAATCTGTTAAAATTTTCAAAACTGAAGAGGATAGAAGGACAAACATTCTTCTTTCCCAACTTAGAAATTATTGTAGTGATTTAAAGTTTGATTTGCATCATGACCACCTAACTGATAGTCCAGTATGTACTTGTTCAGATTTTTCTATAGTGTCCTATTTACTATGATTTGCGAATTAATTTGTTCAACTCAATCAGTAATGATGCCTTTGACCATAACCCTATCGGTATTGACATTATTTTACATGGCTGTCCTAGTTGTGAAGGTAATACAAACAGACTAATGCTTCGTGATATACATTACTTGATAGGGAAATCCTATTTTAACTTTTACAAAATCTAGAAAGCCATTATGTTGACAAAAACTAATTTTCTATGAAAACAGTTGAACATGGTTGTGAATTTACTGTGACCTTCTCCCGCCACTAGTAGCTACTTTAACTCCTTATAATTTGAGAAACTCTGAGAACTATTCCATTCCTAATTTCCGTTTACAATCTTCACTTAACTCGTTCATACCTTCTACTTTAAGACTATGGAATGAGCTTGACACTAAGATTAAAACTGCACATTCTTTTAAGAGCTTCACAAACTGCCTCAAAAAACAAAATGAAACATTTAAAGTGCCTGTTTTTTATTTAGCCGGTGACCGTAAGTTAAATATCTTACTAACTAAACTCCGTCATAAATGCAGCCCTTTAAATGATGATCTCTTTAATGTTAACATAATCAACTCTCTTATTTGTGCATGTGGATATCCTAATGAAAATGCTCATCATTTCCTTTTTACATGCAGTATATATACTGATCAAAGATTTCAAATGTTTAGAAATCTTCATGAATACTTACCTCTAAGCTTAGAGAAATTATTGTATGGCCACGAAGA